TATGCTGTGATGCACTGTCAAGCATCCACAAGTGAACATCATCAGCCTCTGTCCCTGGTCTGCCCACAGCATAAAAAATTCAGATAAATCTTACTTTTGATGCCATTTCTATGAAAAGCACACAGAAATGAAACTGACTGATGCCAAATGAATATCACTGAATCACTCCGATGGTGAGCTCGGAGTTTGAAACAGTGAAATTATTTATAAAACATCAATTTTAGCTCAAGAAAAGAGATTCCTGAGAGTGCGTGCATTTTCTTGTTTTTCTCCTTGGAGACTGCTTCACTTCTTGTCCCCATTACTATTAACTTTAATAGGGAGTCAATTCCTCTGGATTCAGTATTTGGTGCAGGAGGTTACAGTGGAAAAGTTAAAATACAGCTTCCCGCTTTCAGTAACTGAAACCAGATCAGCAAGTGCATCATGTTAAACTGTAAACTATATCCAACTCACAATCCCATGAGAGGAAGAAATATAATAATAATCCTTGCATTTGATACAGAACATTACGTCTTCGAGACGTCTCAAAGCGCTTCACAGGATACACTGTAAAGTGGAGTGACTGTATATTTTGTGGGCAGCAAGTGATAAAAAATGAAAAATCTAATAAATATATTGTGATCCAAACATGTTAGCATCTCTGGATTATACACGACTGAAAATGTTCGCATTCATGTTAGACTTGCCGAGTTACCTTTTTAAAATATTGTAACCAACAGATTAAACTGTAAAAGGTTAGCGCTTTGCTGTACTGTTAGGATTAAGATACAGTCTATCCTGTGAAGCACTTTGAGATGTCTTGAAGACATGATTAGGCACTATATCAAATGCAAGAATTATTATTATTGCTGAAGTGTGAAGTGGGATGATTTCTTCAGAACAATCACAATGCAGAATTCAAACCTCGTGCAATTTAGAGTTATTATTAGTGTGAACATGTTACAAAAAGATGGTGTTCACTTTCACAAATTCTATTTTGTGACTTGTTGAGTTCAGGGGGTTGATATGGTTTGCACAACAAATATTTTGACAGGTTTTGAAAGCTATAAATCAATTACAAAATCGGAGGAGTCTGTACACAGCAGATAGATGTCACTCCTTAGTTTCACAACTCGTCACCCAACTGGTTTGCAACATGGGTGGCCAGTTGTGAAGCTATGGGAGTGTATATTCGAGTGTGCCACTCAAGAAACAAATACCGTATTTATTACCAGTTTGTATTTGACCCAAATCAGCTCAGTGGGTTTGAAGACACAGTAAAACAACACAACTGTTGTGCTGTTTGCTGCACCAAATTCTGATCAGAGTCATCACTTTCCTCTGCACGGCTATTAGTGTAGACACTCGCTTCGGTGCTGTGGTAACTTAGCAAAGGGAGCGCAGTGGGCAGGTGCAGAATTATAGTGATGGCTTCATTTCATTCTCTCTCTCTCTCTCTCTCTCTGGGCAAAGTTTAAGCAAAGCGGACTGTGTGTGTCCACAGTCTTGCTAATCAAACAAACATCAAGTAGTTTATGAAATGAGCACAGTTCACAGCACACAGGCCAGATGTATGTGACAGCAACTAAGAGATAGCCTCCGGAATGTGGTGTCACATTGCTCCTGTCAACCTGACTGCAGTTTGTGGGGTTCCAGGTAAATATCAGCTGGAATGGACACGAAGCTTATAGCATAACTGGCATATATCACAGTAATAAAGATATTTTGAGGAGCTTATTCTAGTGTATTAATTACAAACTGAAACAAACACTTCAGATATTTTCATTAAAAATGATTCTGACGTCACATTCTCCCTCCCATGTTTCACTTTTGCCGATTTAATCTAACCCATCCCAATCTTTTTAGTTTATTTTCCTAAAATATCTAACTTTAAATCGTCATTTAACCAATCTATTTATTCCCTCCTCCGACTCCCATTGTCTATCTCAAAACAGTGGACTAACCGGCTAAAACAGCTTCAACTGTCCCAATCCAGAAAATGTAACATTAATATGTTAATAGTTGGCCAAATTTGATCACAGTTTTACATATTAAATAATACTGATCCTTGCATTTGATATAACGCCATATCACGTCTTTGAGACATCTCAGAGCGCTTCACAGGACATACTGTAGCATGAATTTACTGTATATTTAGTGAACAAATATCATAATAGGAAGAGAGTTGTCACACAAGTTTATTCATCAGCAGCTCACGGAGAGATTGTATATCTATACAACTAGCTATGGCTGAATTGAAAATCTAAATGAGGAATGAGAAGATTAAAATCAAAACAGCACCTCTGAATACAGAATATCTTATCATTGAGAATTTTTCCAAACGTGAGGATACATTTGAGTACAAGGATCTTGTCCCACAGGATGAGATTATTTTCTGCTGTTTGGGTGGTAACTGTACAACGTCTCATATGTGTCGCTTCATAAACAAGAAATGGGAACTCGGAATAAAACTAATTCAGAGTTTGCGATACTGAATTCAAATTAACACCTAAAACAAACATTAATGAGCAAAAATGAGTAAAGGAACAGACCAGTTTTACTACCATCAGGAAAATCATGAGAGAGAAATGAGCATTAATAAATAATTTCAAAGAAGGAATCTTTACAAATCAGATGCAATACACACGAGATGAAAGCTAACAATTAATTCAGGTCTGGTACCATAGCCTGAGTAAGTTTTGGTATGGTGCTGTGTGTGTGCCTACAACAGCATAGATTATGTACCTATAAAACAGGTGTGACTATTTCAATAGGACAGTGACTATACATTCAGCACTTTATGGTTCAGGATCACCAACGGCACACAAATGGTATAAATCTCATAGCAGACCGACACCTGATTATTAGCCTCATCACAGCATTAAGACAGCAGGTCAACAAGTAGTTCTTGCTGTTCCTCTTCAGTGACACAGGTCAAGCCACCAACGGAATGCCACAATCAAAAGGAAAAATAGCAATAGTAATTTTGAAGGCACGTCATTCTCCCTGAGTGACAGGAATCATCTGTAACTTAACATACTCAAACTCCATCTCCCCGCAGCACTGCCCTAACATAATTAAACAGCACATTTTTAAATTCACACTGAAAACCACAAGCACCCATGTGCTCACTGTCCAATTAACCAATCTGAGGGCTAATTGCAATCTGCACAGCTGACTAACCACATTTTACATAACAACCACAATAGGAACCTGCAATTTGAGAGGATTTGCCAGGATCCAAGGGAAAGGGGGAAACAGTGCTTCTCCCCAAAATAAAAGACCGTTATAATAACTAAATAAATTACTAGAGAATCACAGATACATGAATCCGTTTTTGAGATTATATTGGTATTAACACAGAGAAATTAAGTGTGTAACTTTTTTACTTTTGGTAAAGATTTATGAAGCACTAGAAATAATTCTCCGACACAGGTGTGTGTGGGAAAGATCTTTCACTTTGTGAAAAAAACATACATATTCCAACTCTATTTCAAGTGAAAGGGGTGTTTTTCTTGCATCGCACGCACAAAGTTTCGAATCGCAAACACGGCATTTAATGTAGTATTAATGATTATCATCCCATTATCAAATCTATCACGGAACGCAATATATACTTCTCTTTCTCAAATACCGAAGTAATGATTTGTCTTCTCAGTTAGCGATTTCATTAACTTTATCTGTACATGCTGCAACAAGACAGCTCAGCAGTAGTTTAAGCCAGAGAACCACCCAGTCAATTTCTTTATGTTCTGCACTTTTTATAAAATGCCCTCCCTGTGGTAGAGCAAAATCGAATTGCCTCTCACATTTGCAGACAGCTCTGTGAAGGTGATAATAGACCTGCTCCCTGCTGTCATGAGGCAGGAAATAGGAAAATGGCATATGGGGCCAGAAGAGAATAAAAAAGAAAGGCACCGAACAACAAAACAGCAAAAAACACACTACAATAAAGGTGAACAGGAACCCAAACTGTAATGTAACTGCCTTTCTGACAATGCTACATGTTATCAATTACCTATTTCTTGAATAAATAATAGCTCGATTATAGCAAAATATCATTCAATTCACTTAATTTTTCCAATGAAATGTAATTAATAAAACTGAAATAATTTCATCAGATTCTGTCAATTGCATGTTCCTATGAAATAAATCTGGGTTATTATTTGGCCTATTACTGTACTGTTCAAATTTCATAAAAATCTAGTTATTTAAGAGCAAATTAGTTTAGCATCTCAACCAGTGAAATAGCAAATTACAGATACTCAAGATCCACTTGTTAAATGACTCAAGAGAATCATTCCATTTACAAAACTGATCAGTGAACTGTTTAAAATAAAATCTATAACCATTGCACTGATGTATATTAAATGATTATTTTGTGTATTAAAGTAAAAATATCTCTTGCTCGGATTATAATATACAAAGTTTGCTTTGGGTTCTATATAAACAATTCCTTTTTACTGAGCATCATGAGGCTATTCAGCAGAAACCATGTCACCAACAGAAATAAACATTAAATATTTAAGGATCACTTCACTGGTAAACATGTCATCTCTTCTAACACACATATATACGGACACTTAACCAACCATAGTAGCTTGCCGATTAATGAAGAATTTACCATGTAATCTCGAACAAGCTTTCTATAGTGAGAAGCTGAAGCAATGCCAGATTTTTTTTTAATGAACGCACAATTCTACTTTTAAGCCTTTTAAAGGTTTAAACCAGCATGAAAACTAAAAAGTAACAAATCTTCAATTTTAGTTAATTCAGGAAATGCTCAAAAATGAATGCGCAGTTCCACGGAGCTCTAGAATTAAATTTTAAATATTTAATCAATCAAAACGTATTAACATCCTTTCAAACTCTACAATGTGGAGAAACAAGTGCGGGTAATTAATTCCTACGTAAATTTTCGGTACACAAAGGGTGAATCTAAATCACGTGCGCATTTGAGGAACATGAGATTCAATGTCAAACAGGTTACACATTTAATAAGAACGATCGGATCATACCTTCCCCTTTACACTCTGAATAGGATCCACTACAACAGCAACAGCTCGTTCCGACAGCGCTTCAAAGCTCTGCTGAGTGTTGATATCAACTCCTGAAAGCCAGCATCCAAAGCCAGGGTGACTGTGGTACCAGCCAACAACCATTTCAGGCCTAAAACAGAGCATTTTGAAAGTGGCTGAGTGTGTTTTTGAAAAAAAGAATAAATAAATAAATAAATAAATAAGTAAATAAATAAAAGGCAGCATTCTCATTTGAACAAGGAACCAAACAATACTAATGCAGCTTTAGTAAGAGAATCCCGGCAGCACGAAGATACTGTAAGGTACGAAAAACGGGAAGTCATTCAGCATAGATTCATGTAAGTGTGGATATGAAGAAAGCGTGACAAAGGAGTGCTATCATTAAAAGGATGTGCATTAGCAGTGGTAGATTGTGCTTTCAATGTTTCACCCTGTTACCACACCTTCCCCGAGCCAGTTTTTACCCTTTCAGCACTTGAGAGTAAATATCCACCCTTCAAATATCAATTAAAGCAGCAGTGGGACCAGGAACTCAGTCAAGAAGCAATTTGCACCGTTCGCTAGCGCTGCTGAGCCTTTTGTTAACATTAATTTTTAAGCTTTTTTCACAGTGACGGTATTTGAACAAGCGTAAGACAACTGTTGATGGGTATCATGTCAAACTGCAAAGAAATAACAAAATAACACAGCAACATGAGTTAAGATTTTAAACAGTTTGTAGCATTTGCAGAATAGTTGTCATGAAAATACAATGATTGTATTTTATTGGAGATGGCTAGAAAAGTTGTTTGTATAATACCGAGCTCTGGAGACCCTGGCTTTGATACTATAGATATATGTAATGTCCTACCTGCCTGTCTGCTTCAACATGTCCAACATTTTTGCCTGAAAAACAGGATCCACCGCCTCAACACTGACACCCTGTGAAAAGAAAAATCACATTCGATCCTCGAAAAATATCATTTCAAAGGAGAGTTTGCGCCCAATAATCACAAACAGAAAATATGTACTGGATCTCTTCTTTATTATTTTGTGGTTAAAATAAAAATAAAAGTGCCTGTTACTTACTGTGCCTGACTGCGGCATTGCAAACACATCAATGACACGGACGGTGTAGTCATCCACAAATTCACCCAACATAAGGCCCATCACCTCCATAGGCACTCCAGCCCGTCCATGTTTCAGCATCTGTGCATCAACAAGACAAACCAAAATACAACATTTTCTACAATTTTCACACCAGACAACAGGAAGTAGCCTACGCTGTGTACATACTGTGCAAATGCTATCATTTTTTAATACATCCTCAGAATTCAAACACAACAACAAAATTACATTTGTATAGCGTCTTTCAAGTCGGGAGAACGTCCCAAGGCGCTGGCACATTTGGCTTTTCCTTACGTTTTACGCATGGTTTTGCTTCTATGTAATTTAAGACGTACGTCACTACAGTTTTGCAGAAGGTCAAAGAAAATATTCTAGGTTTTAAACTGATTAAGCACATAGAACATAAAATAGCTCTCAATATTTTAATGAAAGGCAAAAATGAGATGAAGACAGGTACCAAGAAATGGGTTCTCTGTCATGGATTGTCAAATGGACTGCAGGATCCCTATTGTGCCCAAAGCAATATATCCGATGTTATGAAAGAAGCATTAAACACCCACTCTTACCTTCAATAGAGCCAGTGAGGATATATAGACTTGTTCTGCTGTATCTACTGCTGGGGCATCAGTTGGTGGGCCCTGAAATAAATAAATGTATATTAATGACAAATTTCTAAGTGTGTAATAATTTTATTTAGAAGCTATATGTCACGTTTTCTGAGTCATCTGCTCAGATGGTTTATATTCTTTCATTTTCATCAGAAAGTAAACGTCGGGCCAGACGTGTGGGTACCACTTTGAATAGAAAATCTAAACTAAACCTTATACCAAAAATATTTACGACCACATTATTTCAATGAGTTGTTTAATTGTCTAATCTGAACACACATAATATTTTACATTCTGAAACAACATTCTTCATTGAGAGCGCTGTCTGACAAGCTAGGACCACCCCACCCATTAGAACTTTGAATTCCAGACAATATACAGTATATATGTACACACTCAAATAGTGGAAGCATTCAAAATCAGACCGAGGCACTGATGGTAAGCAGTAATTACAATGGAGTACGTATCAGAGACATGGTGAAAGCAGGCTGATGGCAATGAATGTAACCGTGTGAGACATCAAACATGTAGCCTTCAGTGACATGGTCACCCAGTCAGTATACACCATCGATGGAGTATTCTCCCACCTACACACAGGGATGCACACACAGAACAAATACCCCTTTCCCAATTGTGTTTTGAAGGTGAGACATGCAGAATAGTTCCCAAAGGGTTAATTTTATTACTTCAGATCCAGCAACAGCTTTGACAGATACAGAGTAGTTCAGTTCAAATGGAATCTTCTGATCGAATACTTAGAATCCGTTTGGGTTGAAATTAAATGTCAAATATTTCCACAGCAAAAATCCGAATCAATAATGTTTTTTCTCTGCAGAAAAACAGAATTAGAGAACGAGGGAAATCCATCACAGCCGAGTCTCAAATTTATAATTTAAAATTTAATCCGGAGTAAAATCCTCCACAATCAGACAGGACTGCAAGATGAACAGCGAGGAATTTGAACACCCATCAAGCTCTGAAAATTTCTGCTTCAACAACTTGTGCCATACACCATACATCCTACATGGGCTTTCAGAAAGCTCCTGTCTCGTCACATTTCAAAGACATCCACATAATGGAATTCATCTGATACAGATACTTGCACGAATCTGACACGGTATCTGACACAGAACGAACTATACAGCTCTCACAGAGAAGGGTACAGCACTTAAAGTAACAAATCTTCAATAGGTATCTTGTTTAATATTTTCTAGTGTCTTATTTAATATGTCTGCTAGCTTCTTATTTAATAATTGTTTAGTTTCCACAAATAACAAAATCATAACCAATTAAACCTAATCACCCCATGTCACCTATTAAATCACCTTTAAAATTAAGAAATTCATGTTGTTAAAAAGAAATAATTTTAAGATGAATATAGGCAGATCAACAGTGCAGTTACTTTTTAATATTATAGTAAAATATGGGATGGTACTGAAGTAATAACAGAAGACACTGAAGTGGGGCTCCATCAATAGCTCAATAGGTAAATGCCTGACCTGGTTTGAGCATTGAAAATGGATAGAATATACAATATCTAACCATTTGTTTCTGAAATTGGCTCAGAGACCAACAGAGGCTCTCCCATCTTCATCATTTCAAGATGGACAATTTACTTACCAGATCTGATCAAAACTTTGAATGGCATTTCAGAAATAATTACAATTTAAAACCAAAACCAAAATATATAAAACAATAAAATGCCAGTTTAAACTTGCCCGTTTCCATTAGATTCATTAGACTGTATTGATCTTATCCTGATTAATGGATGAAGTTCTGAATCACTCTGGGAACAATACCTCTTGACCTGTTTTGCAGGATTCTTCCACTTAGAAGAAAATTAAGTTTTTATTGTCCCCTTGTTCCAATTATGTAGATGGACATTCTACCTACACGCAAACCACTATTTTTTCATAAAAATCAGTGCAGAATTTGTTTCTAATGAGGACGACAAATTTAGTGAATTCCAGAGTCCCATTGGGGTTCTGTTCTCTGCTCACGGTGTGAAAAACACCTCATTTGTCGACTCCAGTGGCTCTTGTGATAAAAGCAAAATTCACACTTCCCTATGTGAACCAACTAGATAATCAACAAATTTGTCAATCAGCTAATCAACTACTAACCACGGCCAGCTCCCAAAATTTATATTGTTAAATACAGACAAGAAATGTACACTTCACAGAAGTCCTGCGGGGAAACAAAATGACATTATTTTATCCCCATTTGAAAATATAAATGTCATTTCCATAGCTGTAAACACAACAGTGTATTAGCTAACACAAATTCCACTTTACAACTGTTATCACTGGCTACTAAACCCCTGTTTGTGTTAAACACATGAATCTTGGTTACAAGCAAACTATCTCCAGTTGCAAAACGATAGCTTCATGTAAACAGGCACACAAAAAAACAAGATAAATATGAGCAAACAAGACCTGAGCTCATTTCAAAATGAAATGGTTAAAAAAACACACACAAATCAGGACCAGTGCAAATGTGGAACTATCCTGATCATCTATTATTGTAGTGGAAGTCAAAGTAAATCTTCCTTGCAGTCAATATAGCAAAGAAATCCAATTCCAAATGTCGACTCATTTGGGATAAATACTATCATATGGTGGGTAGCTCAGTTGAACATTGAGGTAAGTTCACTCTCAAGGATTAAACGTTAAGCTGCTAAATGTTGGCTTATAGTTCCTTTAAAATGTATTTATGTTTCATAAAACACAAATTTAAAATGAGGTATTCTTGTAATATTATATTAAATTAAATACTGTATTAAAATACATGTAGTGTACAAATAGTTTACAGAAAGAGGAACATTGCTTTATAAAATCCTCAGGTTGGATACAAGAATTATTCCGATTCCTATTCTAGTGATTGTATAAGCCACCGTTATTCACAACTAATAGAAATAATTCGTACAGAGACAAGCTTTTACATAAATGTAGTGAAAGACGTAATATGATAAAGCCATCACTCTCGAGGACCCCTTTTTTTGCCCTCAAGCATTAATCGGTCACAAGAAGTGTTCAAGCTGCTCAGAACAGGATTGTGTAAATGAGGATGGCCCTGGTAATAAGCCAAGCTGCAAGCCATTTAAACATCCCATCACGGTTTATATAAGGCTTGCGAATCTTATACACCTAGCGCTGCTACAAACTGTTAGTCAGTGAACTGACCTGCCTGCTGGGCAATAATCTGAGCCCTGTCCAGGTCGGTCGATCAAATAATGCTATGGCAGGGAGTTAGTTAGCTCCAGGCTGACCTTTATCATTAGAGGGAATCAGCTCCCTCACACCTACAGATTACAATTTGGCAACAACATAATTGAGGCTATTCATTTGAAATCCTGAAACCTGCCTCCATTCATGAACCAAATTATATAATAGCTGGGTTAGCGAAAGTTATTTCGCTATGTGGCAAGTATATGAATCCCAAGGTATACCAAAGCCCAAACAAACATCATCAGCTCACTCAGTTACAGTAATATGTGAACCCGTATACACCTCCAGTTTCACTAGGGCTGCTCTTGTTGACAAAGTGTTAAAAAAGGCTTTTGCCATTATAACAGCATAAAACTAACACCTCAAAGTGTTATCTGCTCAGTCCTTTTAGCAAATTTATTAACACTATTAGTTAGATTACTCCACCTTTTCCATGGTGTGAACCGGTATCAATTATTTAGCCAATTTTATTATATGTTAATAAAATACCTGCTGATTAAACATATACCAAAGTGTCACTTTGTGCTGCACAGTACATTGACACTATTTATTTTAGCTTAAGTAAATGCTACAGTTGGAAGCTGGTGCAAGATTATGATGACAGAAGTTGTGAAAAATGAAAACAATATATTCACGAGTATAGGTTCTTTTATTGCTGTGTGGAAATAGGACAGTAAAACCCATCAAACAGTCATTCATTCCTTATCAAATGATATAAAACTACTGTATTAATATTTACTGATTTTAGGATAATATTAAATAAGACTGTTCAGTATCACAGGCAGGAAAAAACAATCTGTAATACTTTGAATCACCATCAGTTGCTCATGAACATAAGAGCGAGCACATTATAATATCAATTCTATGTTTTTCATTGCATATGGCATTAAACCGTTCAACCTTGATCAGTCAAGAACTGCTGGAGAGAAATGTATCTCTGGAATTAAGGTTATCATTGTTGTCAGAATTCTCCTCTCAAGCCTTGTGTGTATTTTCTAATGATAATACCACAGAAGCCCTGAATTATCAACGCACGCACACCATTTTCACCAGAGGCAGTTACCTCTCATACCAATTTATTTAAATCGTTTCCACAGGTAACACCATACACACACACAGGACAACACGGTAAATAATCCCCCCTTCTCTTCCTGTGGCCCCGACCAGCTTTTCCACTATTTCTGAAACAGTGGCAAGTTGAACTGTCAGACTTCTGCTGCAGACCAACAATCCAATTGTTAGCCTGTATTGACGTACCAGGCACTTGTTAGCCTGTATTGACCTATCCCAGAGATCACCGAGCAGTAAGATTGAAAATTCCCGATTTGGAAAAGAGTGTGCAGTGGTTGAAATGCTTTGGTTTCCACTCACAGAGTCAATGGAAAGGTAGCCAATTTGTCTGCAAAGCATCCTGACTTTCACACCATTGTGATCGGTAGCAGATCTTGTGATAACATATTTCAGGCCCACAAAAACATAGTAATAATACACAACCCTGCCACTTGTACCTACACTGATTTATTTTGCGCTCAAATAAATTAAACTACACCACTGTTATTTTAAAAATATATCTTTTTATATAAAACCAAGGAACACTGAAAAAGCAATTAGCATAAATTTCTGGAAGATTCTTTATAAGAAACCAGACAGTTGACTACGCCCTACACTAAACCACATTGTTTAGGACACACACGCAATTACGTGACATTGAGGATTGTGTTTCTTATGATCTTCTAGACCCATTTAATGTTTTAATAATAATAATCCTTGCATTTGACACAGCGCCTTATCATGTATTCGATCGTCTCAAAGCACTTCACAGGATATAAAGTAAATTGACTGTGTATTTTGTGGGCGAAACGCGGTAGCCAATTGTGCACAGCAGCGTCCCACAAACAGTTGTGGATCGAGGAATTATCTAAACAGAATATTTTGGGCTACTGGATAGAGTCTGAAAGACATTTCTATCAATAGTTCAGCTTCTACAAGGTTGATGCGATTTCTGAATGTTTTGCATTTTGAATCCCACGTTTTCCATGCCTGTCCGTTGCCGTTTCTAATTCTGCTCCCAAACGGCTTTGCGTGTTGCAAATAATCCAATAGGTAAGGTACAGAAACATCCTGGCCCTGACCACAGCAGAATACTATTTCAGAATATTTTGACAAAAATGTAAATTTATTCCACCTGACTTTTAAGAGCACATTTGAGATTTTTTTTAAAAAGTGCTGTTTGAGCTGTAGCTTTATGAACCAACAGAAAGGATTTGTTGCATTTATCATCAGGTACGGTATACAAAGCAATCCCCAAATCAGAAACGTGTTCAAACAAAAAAGCTTTTTTTTAGGAGAACAAAGCAAGCATTCGGATTCCCCTCCTAACCACCATTATTACTTGGTACAGATAAACATTAAAGCTTTCATTTAATACAGAAAATCGAAAACAGCCTGGCTTAATATCAGCCGAATGTAAACTACTTCTGCTGTCCCCAGCTCAATGATGAGCTGAGGCAACCTGTTATAAGAGGTGTTAATTGGCAAATGCGTACAAGTCAGGAGCACATTCCCTGTCGTCCTAGCCCAGCAAGCCGAGGTCATTAAAGTGGAAATGAATTCTTTCAAGCTCTCTTAACCCTTAAAATACTCGATTCGCTCTCCACCATCAATCTGAGAAAATAAGCTTACACTTCGTATTATTTACCGTAAAAGCTTTCATTAACAAAATATACAGTCAATTCACTTTACAGTATATCCTGTGAAGCGCTTTGAGACGTCTCAACAATGTGATAAGTTGCTATATCAAATGCAAGGATTATTATTATTATTAAGGCTTAAAGTACAGCGAATACAGAGCCCCTAAACTCTGGAACACTCTCCCACAATCCCTCTGCCTTGCCCCCTCTCTCCAGTCCCCTGAAAACTTTACTGTTCGACCGTGCTTACGGTTACCTCCCCACTCCCCTCTGCCCCCCGGCTCGGAGTCAGCGCTCTGAGACGCTGCCCTGGGTGGAGAGGGCTATCTATATAAGTGCAAGGTTGTTGTTGTTGAATAATGAGGAATTAACAAATACGATCTACATGGTTTGAAGACTTTGCTTGAGGGAGGGCAATTAGGGTGGAGGAGGCAAATATTAGAGAAATGTTCTATAAAATTAGTATCGAAAGAAATCTAAGTGGTTTTGATAGAAAACTGAATGGGACTCGGGTGCATGTACAACAGGTGATTATACAATTTATACAAATGAGATTTATGTGGGTTTTACTGTGTATATATAATGATGAGTGCACATTACAAATACTCTTTGAGATTCAAAGATTCATAATTCAATGAGCATAAGTGAGACGTTATAGACTTCTGAAAAGGTAAATAATTAACATGTCAGTCAATGGACAGTACAGTATTCTATTTATCCACTGCTGTATATATTTCAAGCAATTCAATATTGGGCATTCAGTGATAATTTATTGCAATGAATAATCCAATTGCTTAGGCAGCAGTTTCACATCCACAGCATAAAAGTGAACTTTGAACCAGCCACAACTTGGTGCTATTAAGACCCAGAAAAGCAGATGAAACGAGTTCAATCTGAAAGTATGTCAAAAAATACACTCAATGTCAAGAACATTTTTTTTGCCAGGTAACGTAACCTGAGAAATGCAGAGATATTGCTGCAGAAGTTCATTCATTACGTTGAAACCTGTGAGTGTTGAGAAGCTAACAGGAGACACTGACCTGCCCAAGTCCTGGCATCCCTCCTCCGAGGCGCAGGAGTCTGTCCATCTTCCTAAAAACAAACACACACAAAACTAATTAATCCTGAAACTTTTTAACTCAATTATCATCTATATAATTCACCTTCAATCTTTCCTTATGTCAAAAATATTGGTGGTAATTACAACACAACATCAGATTTCCTGTTAATTAGCGCCACATACTAATTCAAGAACCTGTCTTCCTTGCTAATTAACAGACCCGATTTTACTGCTTTTGTTTTTTGGGGTGATCCCCAATTTCAGGACAGTGTTCAACAAACTGAAAGCCCACTTCTGGAAGATTGTAAGTATGGCCACCATTTTATATTCTTAAACCAAAGGAAAAACAGAGGTTATGTTTTGGACTATCAGTAGCTGAATTATTTTGTGAAAAAATGTAGTTTGTCACTAATTGATGCATTCCTTTCAAGTACTAGATATATTACGGCAACTTGAACAGACTGCACAAATAGGAATCATCACTTTCAAATTAAAATTTGTACATCCTAATTAGTAAGTTCTGTGCTAATTAACTTACAGCTTGTCAGTTATCATCAATACCGCGTGTGAGTGATGGTGTGATCAGATACGAGTCTCCAGATACAGTCCAAAAGGCTTCTATATCGGTCGGTATTTACAGACTTGCCTCTCTCAATCACGATCGTGGGAAAGAATACCTTACCGTAAGAAACACCTCGCCTCCTCTAACAAATATTATCAAACACATTCAGACGATGTCATCCTAACATCAAATGTTCGTCCGCTGTGAATCCCATCAGTTTTACAAGAATGGGCATACAACATAACATGTGAAAGATTAAAGGAAATTCTGATTTGGCTTTCGAAAATGTAAGCGTTATTGTTAAAAGTAATTTTTATACAAGGAAAAGAAATGTACCAAATAAGTGCTTATATTTCCAAGTCTATCAGACCCAGTTACTGCAAACAATAGCTACGGTATTTCTGAACAGTTTACAAAAATAAGTTTCTCAAACCCTATTACTCTTATTCTGTCATTAAGGTGGCACTAGCAAACAAAATTCAGGTTATATATATATATCATTTTTATAGAGAGTGCATTCAAACTAACTTCTGCTTATAAATTACATGTTTTATAACAAAGATACTATATGTACCATAACACCCGCCTATACTATTAAAAGCACCTCACAGGTTCCCTTGTGAAACATTAACTCAGTTGTGTAGAACCGTATTGCTCAGATCTGAAATATTAGCAGGTTAGGTTTTTCTAAGGTATATGATACAGACGAAATAGCCTCTGGCAAAACTGCATCAATATAATCCCTCCTGCCCAGATTCAGCGTTCTCCCAGCCTCTAACAATTTCCTTTTTGTTTTGCTTAAAACTGTGATATTAAATAGATAGATAATTACTCAATGAATTAGAACAATGAAGATTCGATGCTCAAAGTTTGCCTCCTCAGACATGTAGGATTTTGCAATGAACTACTATTATTTTGAGATTTGGCTTCCATTTCGTGAGTTGTTAACTGTTTATAGAATCAAAACGCACTGAATTTGCAAACCATAGAATGCATCTTATATAGTAAAATCCTTGGGAATAGTAATGAACAATAAACATTGGCACCAATTCTGTGTCATACAGTGTTTACAGCCTCAAAAACTGCCTTTCTAAATCATGTGTTAAAGAATGAAATTTACAATTAATTGAATGAGAATTCTCTCTTTGAACAGAATGCAGGTTCAAGGTGCTTTGATTTCCTCCCGATTTCATCTTCATTGATGCATTCTCCATTCTATCAACAACAACATACTCTAAGTGCTGACAGTTTGTTGTGCCTCTGAAATACATGAGCTCCGTTGTGCAGAGGTTACACGCCACTGTTTTGTCAGTTTTTTTTTGACAGATCCTCCACGTGTTGCCTGCTTTGTCATTTTTTTTAACTTCCAACACAGTTCCGGTTGCTACTGTCAAAATCCTAGCCTCTCTATTCCCACTCCCCGTGTTTTACATGACCATACAATGGCAGGCTGTTCCCCAGAAGAGCCTTGGTTTTGCCAAACCTTGAAACCTAGCTTGGCAAGCTTTGGAGTCAAACTGAACAAATGAAGCCTCAAAACCGCAAAGGCTTGTTGGAATCCCGTGAGTTTTCTTTAATTGATTTGCCACAAAATGTGCTGTTGTTCTGATCATTTCAAACTTAGAATGTTTTGCTTACACTTCTTAACATGATTGAAAATGATGTGACTGATTTGCAGCTGTGGATGGAAGGCACAACTTGCTGAAGAAAATATTTGTCCACAGAATATTGCTTCAGGCCATTCAGAATTACTTTCTCCAAACCTCATTAAAATAAAATCAAGTTTTAATCCCGAGCAGTTCAAATGAAATGAAATTCAAAGGAATATGAAGGCCCATTTATTCCCAACCTAAAATAGCACCTGCACTGCAACAGTGTGAAATTTTCAATTTCACATTCTTATAACAACTCTAATTCCTAATGATTTCCAATTTTCTAATTACATGAGGTGAGTTATGGGCAGTTTTGTATGAGTTTTATTGTGTGAGATTTTACATCGGACCTCAGCAGTTAGCAAAGAGGAAGGTTTCACTGGGTGGGTTGGGGCCTGGTCCAGGGTCAATGGAACAATAACCCAAATTTGAGTTGGCATTTTCTGGAGAAGGGAGTGGAAGTCAAAGAAACTGAGCAAAACAATAGAGATAAAGAACAAAGGAGCACAAAATGACCTTACAACTCGCAAGCAACCGTTGGAATAATCTCTACATGTAATATAGCCCTATAACATTGAGAATGCCTCACGGCCCTTCACTAAGTTTCTGCAAAGTGTCGCAGTGGATAAATGTAGACTAACATGAGAGCTAATTTGCACATAACTATATCCTAGGCTTGTGAAGTCCTATAGCTCAGTGGTTAGAGCGCTCACCTTGTAAGCAAGAGATCTGGGTTTGATTCCCAGCACGACAAAACCTTGGACAAGTTTCCTTACTCCACACGCCTCATAATAAACGCCAAAGAAAGAAACCAATAATAATTTGGTCACATCAACCCACGACTGTTTGTGGGACGCTGCTGTGTGCAATTGGCTGCCGCGTTTCGCCCACAAATATACGGTCAATTCACTTTACAGTATATTCTGTGAAGCACTTTGAGACGTTTAGAAGATGTGAAAAGCGCTATATCAAATGCAAGGATTATTATATTATTATCTTACAAACAGCCATAAAGTGAATGACCAGTTTTATAAGGAGCATTGTTGGCCAGGACACCAAATAAAACTCTCCTTTCTTTTCGGATAGTGTCATGGGATCTTTAACATCCACTTGAATAGTCAGATAAAACCTTGGTTTAATGTCTCATCAAAAGGACGGCACTTCTGACAACAGAGCAACTCCCCCAGCACTGGGAATGGAGTGTCAGCTCAGACTAGGAGCTCAGAGCCCCAACATGGGGCTTTAACCTTCTGTCCCAGGGGCAAGAATGTCAGAAACTGAGCCAAACTGACATACAATGAGTGGGAAATAAACAACATTAGATGACTCTATGTTAAAGAAAAAATTATTGTTGAACTGCACAACTCCTGAAATAAATATTATTTGTTTATGTAAATATAATGGCAACAGAAGTATTTCTGCAGTTAATCTGCAACTCATGCTGAAATCCCAACAAGTATGTACAATTCCATGTGAAAGACATGAGGAGTTGACAATAATTCCAAGACAAAAGCCATTTTCTAATATGTTGCTGACGCTATTTATAAACCTAGAATAATCTGTAAGCAAGTGCTTTGTAGTGTGTTAGAATTTCAAAACTGCAGGTTTGTCAAAGCCAGTTCACACAGTAATCTGGATGTCTGTCACCATCCTGAAGGTGTCATACTGTATTTGGAATGCAAAGGCTGCCAGTTTATCAAGGCTAAATCCCATTGTGCAGTCTTGTTTCTCATAATACGGATTTGGAATTCAGGCTGCAGGATAAACAAATCATGAGTAAAAACTAGTATAAGTAAAACAAGACATCATAACTCAATAATAATTCTTACATTTGATACAGCGTCTTATCACGTCTTCGAGACTTCTCAAAGCGCTTCACAAAATATACTGTAAAGTGAATTGTGGGCAAATTGAAGACCTTTCATTGATTTGCCTGAAGAACATAAAGCTATGCAGAATAATATACAATTACCTACATTAAAATCAAAACTGTCTGCTGACCAATTCTGAGTTATGCACTTGATATATATTGACTTACTTTCTCATAATTGACCATGATCATCACTCAATAAAACTGTAGAGATTAGGACATAATTGTTAAATCTGCCATCACACCCCAAATTGGCAGAAAACTAAGTAAAATAATAACTTCACCAATAACTCTACAATAAATATTATAAATGAAGTACAGGAAACCAAACGTGATCACATGGAATGAACCTTATTTTGAAATGCAGTTGATACACAGCTACAATTTGTTCTGAAGTTCATTCTTGCAGTATAGAGATCTGAACCCGCTCACAACATCACTATTCAACAATTATTCCAACTAAATAACATTGAAATGTACTGCAACACTTCGCGAAAAGTTACTGTTCAGTGTAGTTGACTGTTTTTATAAACATGGCAGTTATTTGAATTGTTTACAAAAACAGTTTGTGTGACCTCAAGGGTCCACTTGTATAGGTCTGACACACATCCCCCAGGGTAACGACAAACAGCCCTGAGGGTAATCTGGAGGTTTGTTGGCCAAGAGAGTATCATGGGATCTTGTAACGATCACCTGAACAGAGAGACCGGATCACAGTTTAATGTGTCGCTTATTTTACAACACGACTCGATCCCACCCTCGATCCCTCCTACAGTGTAAAGCAATGACATCCTCCACCATGTGCTAAGTGACCAAGACCATCTTATGTACTATTTGACATGTGCTTTTCATCTCTCTCTCTCTCTCTCTCTCTCTCTACCTATCTCCCTTCCAGCTCACTCGCTCCACCCCTCCAAATGAAATAACCATCAAATGACACCAAATAAATAATCTTTTTGTTCTTTAAAAAACCCACATAAATCTCAGCTGTGACACAGACTGAGCTCTCTCTCTCTCTCTCTCTTTCTGCCACGTGCAGAAGAGTTTTGTTTCTACAGGACTCCGGCTCAGAGTGATTAATAAATCAGTTTATGGTGTATATATACATGTACACAGTAAACCTCATATCAGTTGGGACCAAACATTTAATACAAACTGATGCAAAGTAATGAGTTACGTCAAACTTGAAAAGAACATAAACTCTTCGACGGGACTCGGGCAGAGGAGTGACAGACATTAAGGCGTTACACAGTTCAGATGTCTATGAGCTTTGCTGTACACAGACGGGAACGTGCGAGAGACGGAGTAACAGAGGCCAGAGCCCCGGGCGGCGACGCTGGGCAGAGCAGCACCTGCGGCAACGGCACCGACACCGATCGGGCGCTCACTCCAGTCAGCGGCGGGAACGACAATAGTAATAATAATAATAATAATAATCCTTGCATTTGATATAGCGCTTTTCACGTCGGGAGGACGTCCCAAAGCGCTTCACAGAACACACTGTAAAGTGAATTGACTGTATATTTGTGGGCGAACGCGGCAGCCAATTGCGCACAGCAATGTCCCACAAACAGTCATAGTTTATAATATAATATAGTATATAATCATATAATGATTATAATAACAATAATCCCATCTCAAAGCCCTTCACAGGGTGTAACCCACGGCTGTTTGTGCGGACGCCGCGCTTCTCCCAAACCCACAGTCACTACACGTGACAGTGTATCCTGTGAAGCGCTTTGAGACGTCTTGACCACGGGGTGAGGGCCGGTCACACCCCGGGGTCATTACTGTCACTGGTGGAAAGTGAAGTGACTGTGGATTTTGTGGACGTTTTTTCGGCCTGAAAACAGGTCACAAACCTTCTCCGCCCCCCGACAATAAGGGGTTCAGCCGCCTTCTCTCTCGGGGCTAAAGGTGAAGCCCCCGAGACCCCCCCAGGCCCCGGGCCCCCCCTCCCCGGCCCCCCCCTCCCCGGGCCCCCCCTCCCCGGGCCCCCCCTCCCCGGCCCCCCCCTCCCCGGCCCCCCCCTCCCCGGGCCCCCCTCCCGGGCCCCCCCCTCCCCGGGCCCCCCCCTCCCCGGGCCCCCCCCTCCCCGGGCCCCGCCGCCAGACACTCACACCCTGACCTCCCGCCCCGGGGCCTGACTGACTGACTGACTGAGCCCAGCGCCCCCCCCCCGGGCCCCCCAGCCGCCGCCAGCACCTCCCCCCCCGGGCCCCGGTGCCCCCCGGCTCCCCCCCCCCGGTGCTCCCCCCCCCCCCGGGCCCCGCACTCACGGTGGCTGTGTCTCCGCAGTGAATCAGCCGATTTCATTCAAACAGACTCACTGCTTCCGGTTCAAACCATCACTTCCGGTTCTGATGACCCCGCCCCCCCCCGAGCTGATTACAGTCTGACTGTAGTGACTGTTAGTCTGACTGTAGTGACTGTTAGTCTGACTGTAGTGACTGTCAGTCTGACTGTAGTGACTGTAGTGACTGTCAGTCTGACTGTAGTGACAGTCTGACTGTAGTGACTGTAGTGACTGTAGTGACTGTCAGTCTGACTGTAGTGACAGTCTGACTGTAGTGACTGTAGTGACTGTTAGTCTGACTGTAGTGACTGTTAGTCTGACTGTAGTGACTGTCAGTCTGACTGTAGTGACTGTAGTGACTGTTACTCTGACTGTAGTGACAGTCTGACTGTAGTGACTGTAGTGACAGTCAGTCTGACTGTAGTGACAGTCTGACTGTAGTGACTGTAGTGACTGTAGTGACTGTCAGTCTGACTGTAGTGGCAGTCTGACTGGTGATGAACTCGCTGAGTGAGCTCTCAGGTGATTGTCACTCTCTGCTGCAGTGACCAACTCTGTCTCACTCTGACATGACTGTAGCTCTGAAGGACCAGTAAGTGTAGTTGTGAGGAGATTGTATTGACCGCAATCTGTGGTCGCTGTTGGGTGGGTTTAGAGCAACATTAGTGTTTGAAGTTGCGTTAACTTAATGATATTTAGTATAAACCGATTAAACATCTCCTGTCATACGTCCTGTCAAATAAATAAATAAATAAATAAATAATAATTTGGTCACTCAACCCACGGCTGTTTGTGGGACAGACGCTGCTGTGCGTAACTGGCTGCTGCGTTTCACCCACAAAATATACAGTCAATTCACTTTACAGTGTATCCCGGTGAAGCGCTTTGAGACGTCTCGAAGACGTGATAAGGCGCTGTGTCAAATGCCGGGATTATTATTATTATTATTGATGTTCATAATGGACACAAAAAGTTTTGACTGGGCTTCTATACATGAAGACTCTCGTATAAACTCCTTACCAGCAGACATCCAATTTGGATACATCTATCTCAGACCCTGTAAATTCATTTATAATATCAACATTATCTGCAATGTGTCACTGATGATAAATTGTAATCACTCATTGCTCTTTAAAACCTGATGGCTACAGAATAAACCAACCTCATATATCCCAGACCCTGTAATTCTCACAAAGGGCCGCGGACCCGAAACGTTGACTGACTTTCCTTTCTCTATAGATGCTGCCTCACCTGCTGAGTGTTCCCAGCGACGTCGTTTCAGCGTTGTTGAAACGCTATTGTGTTGAAGTTTTAAGTGTAATCCTTTCATCTGAGGTTGTTTCAACCTCAGATCAAAGGATTACACTTAAAACTTCAACACAATAGCGTTTCAACAACAAAATAGTATAGGAAAAATAGTGGTTGTTAATTTTTTTTCTTTCTATTTGAAGTTTAGAAGGTATATTGATGGCGAAACTTCTCTATTTGAGGATCAATAACCCTGCAAAATTTGGAGTGGGACAGACGCTGCTGTGTGCAATTGGCTGCCGCATTTTACCAACAAAATATACAGTCAATTCACTTTACAGTGTATCTTGTGAAGCGCTTTGAGATGTCTCGAAGACTTGATAAGGCGCTGTATCAAATGCCAGGATTATTATTATTATAACAGCAGCAAATGCCTTGGACACAGCATATATTGTAAGATCTTCCTGCATCATAAGTATGTACACAATGCTTTTATAATATTTTTATTGTACGTGAAATATTAAGTTTATTTTATGAGACAAAATAATTCAAATACTTAATATTTAACTACTTTTGCACAGTTAAATAGTGGGACTGAACATTTTTTTTCCAGAAGTTGCATTTCTAAGTTTTTTTTAAACAGTCAGCCATTCATGCTATTTGCTACTGTCGTTCTCATTAAAATCTAGCTTCAAAAAGGATGAATTTATTTGCAAACTACCAGAACCGTATTATAATAATAATAATAAAAATCCTTGCATTATTAAAGGCAAACACACAAACTTAGTCAAATAGTTCATGACTTATTCTGCATTTTCTTATGCTAAACATTGAAAAAGACACAGGGCAAGCTTACACTAATGAACCAAACAATACAATTAGCTTTGAAGAGAACAATCACTAAAATACCAGTGTAGTCAAATACTGTCTATCAAATATTTCTTCGTGACAAAATTGGAGTCATTCAGGAACCAAACTGATATTAAACCTGTAACACTATAATAACATACACACAGCAAACCCAGTAATGTGCTAAATCAGTATGTCTGATCTCACAAGGTATACAGTGAAGTCTGGGTTAAGCATTTAGTAATATAAATTGTGTACATTAAATTCAAAACAAATCAGCACAATTCAAACATTATAATTTTTCCAATTTTTTTTTACAATTTTACCACTTTTACAATCCTCAAAAAAGAGTATTTATTTCAAGTAACATTTCTATCTAATGTCCTTTTCTTTTCGATATCAACCTTCTAATAATTCTATTTATTTGCCAGCCATAAAATAAGGTGTTTTAAGTGTTCAGAAAAGCAATATCTGATAGAATATACTACAGTAATTAGCTTTGAGTATTGTCATGTTAAAATGCAGATTTCTACACTGTTTCAGGTAATGTAAATACAAAACAATGACACGTAAAGCTAGTAAGAGTAAAGCATACAGTGTAAAAGTGACTATTATTTTTGTTAGTTTACAAATGTATTTAGAATTAATAGTAGATTAATAATAGTCTCTTTATACTAGAGACCAGTGTGATTGAGACGTTACAAGGCATATTCTAGTGGAACAGTAAAATCAGAACAGGAATCGATAAATCTCTCTTGCATACAGTATTTCACATTATATTTTACCAAGAATTGAGAAATCAAATTCACATTTTAAAGCTTCATTTTAAGGGTCCAAAAGCATTTTTAAACAAAAAGGGTGATAAGCGTTTTCCAAGTTGGCAAGATTTAGAATTTAAAAAATATTCACATTAGATTGTTCTAACAAATAATATTCTGATTTTCCTTTTATAAACTATATCTTGGATTTCCAAGTGTACAAGAACTGTTTTCTTCTTAAATCAATCAATTGGTGGCATTATTAACCTTAAATGTTTATTGTCCAATTGAAAAAAATGCACTTTACTGAATTAATTTAAAATTCTGAAAAGGTGCATAATTTACTTATTATAATTTATTATTATATTTTACAACACAATACTCTCTGAAACTGCGTTGTGTTCAGAATTCCCCAGAGTGTAATTAGAGCTTGGCTATTTAGTCAAAGAGGCACATTATGTTGTTAAGGTTGCTTGTAGGAATCTCAGATTTTTTTTATGTACACTATAATGTTTTTACATTTTGGGGTTGAGAGAGAGAGAGATGCTAATGTATTAATTGGCAATTTACATACTTATGCAGATGCTACCTTTGAGCTCCAAACCTGACTGTGGAAGGAATAGTTGCTGGAGAGAGAGAGAGGTATCACAGTGCATTTGGCAGCTTTCCCATTTGATAGAGAGCTTCATTTCTACTCGAGAACATCTGACAGAACAGAACAGCCGACAGCACGAATTACAATTACAGGACTTTTCACACTAAATGTGGGTGATAGCTACTTGGAAAGAACTTTTGTCATTTGGTTCCAGAAAACTGGGATAGAGAGATAGAGAGGGAGAAAAAGAATTACATGGTCATGCTGTGCTTTTAAAGGCAGTTTGGCTCACTTAAGTCTATTTAACACCTAATTCAAAATAGTCCATAGGCGTCTGAATATGCTAATGCAGTATAATTAGTTTACAGAGAACTGGGGAAATCAGAGAGAAGTCTAAATCACATTGCATTTAATAACAGGGCGACAAGGGAGTGTGCGATATTTTTGTCAGAAGATTCTTTATAGAATAATCTGTAGGTATTTTCAGTGTTTTATTTGGTTTTGTGTTGTGTGGGAATTCAATGTCAACTAAACATCTTAACTGTCAAAACTGTTCCTGAATATGAATAGGAACAATGACCATATTATTATGTACTGTAGATGGTATATATATATTGAATATGAAAACAAGCGCTTACAATAGACACAACTGAAACAAGTACAATTAGTTGACTCTGTACTGGGGACTACACTTGGAAAGGATGTGAGTATTGATGGACATAATTATTGGAGGAGAGGAAGTCACAAATTAACAATATTAATACAATAATTATAATACTTGTGTGGTGGGTATCAAAGTACTGTCTTCAAAACAAACATTAATAAATGTATTACAATAGTGATCCTTAAACAAATAGGATTTGTCAGTTATAAACATCTGGTTTGCCAAAACAAGATGAATAATAATAATAATCCTGGCATTTGATATAGCAGCTTATCATGTCTTCGAGACGTCTCAAAATGCTTCACAGAATATATTGTACAGTGAATTGACTGTGTAACAATGGTATGTACATTTAATAACCCAACTGTGTTCTATTATTGTTTGCAAAGTATAATTGCCAATTATCTGACAATAATACAATTGCTATATTATGTCAGTGATTTTCAACATCCACCCAGCTCAGGTTGCACTAGGTATCGATTGATCTTTGCAAAAGTGCTGCAAAGAAAATTATACTGTATTTAATGAAAAAATGCAATCAAGTTTCTAAAAGGTAGAAAGGCCGAGAGAGGAAAACCATGTTTGAGCATTATCGTAAATGTATTTTGAGTGATGATGAGTAATAAATATGATTACAATCCCACTGATGAATCAGGGAGGTTCGGTAAAAAAAATAGCTGAGATCTCAGATAAAAGCCTATTTTATTTTAGTTTCCTAACCATCAGAGGTGGAAGTTTCCCCTGCAGTTGATTGCGAGGGAAGCTAGTGTTGGCTCAGAGCCACCTGAGGAACAAGTCAGCATTGAGCTTCATCCCTTTCTCTGTGTCTCTGTGCACACCCAGTCTCTCTCGCTCTCTCGCACACACACACACACACACTGATTAGCATGCTGTAATGAAGCCTAGCCGGCCCCATTGTTTTAACACCTCCCGTTCCTGCCTTACCAATC